TTCGAATTTTTCCTTGTATGAATTATTGTATATATTTATTATTTATTATAGGAATACAATTTCTCAGGATATTTTTCGTACTAACACAACTGTTATTATCTTTTAATTTTTGTTTACTCTCAAAAGTAACCTTTTTTTAACTTGCCTTCACTAAGGAAAATTACTGTCATTTATGAATTTTGAGAGCTTTCTCATATTAGAAGAGTCTTATCATGCTTGTTTAGGATTATTTTTTCCTTTTCTATGAGTAAGAAGTTTAAATTGGGTCATCATTGAGAAATTGTTTTCAGAAAGCTTGTTAGTCTTGGACGGACTTTGAATGGAAAAAGTTTACTTCTTTCTTTCAACATAGTCACAAGAAAGATTGTTCTGTGTATAGGCCTATGACTCGTTATTACGCAAAGTTTCATAACAAAACTATATAGTTTACTTTATTATTCTTTTTATAGTTATGTTCCTTTCTCTGTTATACCAACGTCTTGCTCCCCAATAGGGATTTCTGTGAGGTGTCATTTTAATCGTTGAATTTCCCCTACTCAATTCCTTTTCTTTTATTAAACAACTTGGTTCTTACTTAGTAAGGTTGCATTTCTCGCAGAGCTAATATGCTTTATTTACATCAGTGATGCATGAAGGGTTTTGAAATTTTCCAGATTCCTGTTATGTAAAATTTTTTAGAGCTTGGTGTTTGTGTTTATGGCATTACTTTTGTTGATATGATGGGAATGAATTGTTGGCATAGGTGAACAGTTCACTAACTGTTTACTATTGAATGAATTTCTGTATGTGGATCAAATTCTTTAAATGTTTCAAGGCTTCATGTAGCCTCCATTCTATCTTTTGACATGTTACGTGGAAAAGCATGTGAATTGACTCCATTCACATTTTATTATATTGGATTGAAGCTTCTTTAAAAAGCTCAATTGAATGAAAATTGCCTTATATGTGTCTTTTTCTCTGGCGTGTGGGGCAAAGGTCTCTGCCTGTTTCCTTTTTGTGGATGAAAAGGTATCTTTGGAATGTAGGTCTCCAATTGCTAGGAGCACAGTGCACATTACCGAATGGCACTGTTTTTTGGTCCTTGGTTATTAATGTTATGGGAAAAGTATACACGATGGAGAGCAACTTGCAAGAGAATCTTCTTGCTGATGTTTGGAGAGTAAAATATTGCGCCTATTTGATTTGAAGTTAAGTAGACATAATTTAGCACTCATTGGGGGATGTAAGTACCCGTTATTCTTAGTGACATCTTTTATGGCGTGGAGAATTGATTCTTAATGTAAAACAAATGGGCTCATGATATTCTTGCTTTAACTTGAATAAAGTTGAATTGAGGCAGGGATGAGTTAAACACATACTAGAAAATCGCAAATTTGAATCTGCAAACAGTGATTTCGTGTTGTAAGGAGGAATTATGCCGAGAAAATTCGTCAATCCATTGATCTTCTGACATTTGATTTCTTGCTTGTTATTTTCAATTTACATTCGAAGTTATCTCGTGGAAAAGTGTTCTTTTCCAAATTTCACTTCATTTGGCCTTTAGTAATGTCATTGTTTATTTATGATGTGAAATAAAAACTTAACATATGAAGGTTTTGATGGAAAACCTTAAAAGGAGTGATTGAATGTTTTGACTTCTTTAAGTTTTTCACTCATTAACGCTAGTATTCTTTACTCAGTCACTTCTAGCTCGTAGTGAGTATTTTTTGACAAACCTCTCCAGGTTTTACAAGTATTCTTTCCGTAGCCTCTTCAGGCTTTACAATATTAGCAAGGCAGGTTTGGTTTGAGTGTATGGGTTACTCTCATAGAGAGGATACAAAGAAATATACACTTACTAAGGTATGTAACCTTAGTCTTTATAACGATTGAGTGTTTGGTCTGCTTTCACAAAGAAGATACATAAATTGAAACACTCATGTTTTGTCCCTAAGATACACATGTTTGGAACTCTTTAGTTTACAGAGATGAATACACTATGGTACATTTGACTCTATATGCTCTATCTCTGGTTTCGTTACTTCATGGGATGGATATCACTCTTTGTTTAACTTTAATCGGTCTAAGCCAAATAGTCAACCTTTTTCGGTTTGAGGTAGTGATATATATAGTCCTTGTAGAATTTGTCCGTTGTATGTGTCCGTTGAAGTAGATATAGTCGTTCATGACTAGTTTAATCTACTCATTTAATGTTTGAGTTCTTGCGTTAAATGTTGCTTCCTGTGATAGACCTTGCATGAAGTCTTCTTTGCATTGGTAGCAGTAGTGTCTAAATTTAGCAGGAATCTAGGAACATTTTTGTCCTTTTTTGGTCACATAGTTGTAGAGTGTTGTCTTTTTCAGAAAAAGTAATGTACTTTTTCTGATACATGCATGTTTTTACTTTTGCTTGTTTTTTTTCTTCTTCGTTTCTTTACTTTAATCACGCGTTTACATTGAGAGCATTTGAGTGATTGTAGACGATGCCTTGGTTTGTCTTTTGAGACTTGATTCTTTAATTGCTTGCGTGGCAGTCTTTGTCTGCATTTGTTGGTCTTGTGCATCTCAATCTTGACCTTTGTTTGAGCATCTGAGTTTAGTGTTTTGACTTTTCTCCTAATCTGGTTAACATTACAGGTGGATAGACTTTGTTTTCCGTCTGGAATACCTTTCAGTCTGTGTTGTCCTTAGTCTGATACATAGTTGACTTTCTTTTGACCAATGCTTCGTTTGATTTGCGCTCTAGGTTGTCCTTGACACACTTTTGTCTAATAATAGACTCATAGTCGTCTGGCACACATATCAACCTTTATCTATTTAGTTAGCTTGATTTGTCTGATTCTCATGATGTGCATTTGAGTTGACCATTTGGCTTCATCTGTTGTTTAACCCATTTTTGTCTTGTTCTAGATTTAGCCTTGTTTTGGCATTTTGTCTGATACTTCAAGGTTTCGACTGGTAGTATGCTTCATCTAGTGTTTGTTGAATGTTCTTCCGTCTTTGATTGGACCTGATCTTGATGCTTGAGTAGCCATCATCTGATTCTCTTGTTTAGTTTGTCCAGGCTTCATAGATCTTGCATTTAATGCATTTGATCTTGCATTAAATGTTTGCTTGTCGTATCTGCGTTTCACGAAGTCTTTTGTACCATTTGTTTACTTCTATGTCTGGCATTAATCATGACCTAGACATCTCTGTACTTTTCTGGTGTCTTTTACTAACTGGTAGGTGTACTTGCTTTGACACATGTAGCTTCGACTTGTGAATTCGCGCTCTTCAATTTTTCTTTTATCTCTTCTTCTATTTTGATGATTTCATGTGTTCTCCTAAGAGTGTGGATGCTACGTAATTCTTTTCGTTGTGACTTCAGACGCACTCTAGCATTCTTAGTTTTCGTTTGTGTATTTGAGTCTCTATCTAGTGTTTTGATTTAGTTTTGTCCATCATCTGTAGTCTTGTATCATCTGAGGCTTCATTATTTTCTTTCTTGTGCTGGACTTGATTTTGTTCGATCTCCTCATTTGATATCTTGTTAGCTTTTACCCTTCATCTTGGTTGCTCGTGCTCTGTTCTTTATTCTTCAGCTTGTCTGTACTTATATCTTTATATGAAACACTAACACATTTGTTAAAGATAACAATATGCATTATATTTGTCTCATTCAAAACTTTACTGGGAATTACTTTGTCTGATTTAACATTTTTTACTTGATAAGCTAGTTAATGGCATTTCATTTTAGTTCTTAAATATATATTTTTGTTTCTATTATTTATTTTTATAAAAATTAAAAGATAAAGTGTATGTAATTATAAAAATTAAAAAAATGATATATATTCAAAGTTTAATGAAATATTTTTAATTTTAAGGATCAAAATGTGATTAACTTACAATTTATAAGATTATATACTGCTTTTAAAAAATGAGATTATATATATTTTGCATGAAACATGTATAATTTTTTTTCTCTCTGGAGAGAGAGGAGAAACATATATAGTGAGATAATAGTTTCTTACGGAAAAGTGAAAGAATATCATTTTAACCATTTAATGAAAATAAATTATTTATATTTAATTAATTTTGATACATTGTTAAATTAGGAGTGTTTGAAAAAAGTTGAGTTGTACTAAATTATTTGAGAATTTAATTGAATTAAAAAACAAAAGTACATAATCTAAATTGAATTAAATTAGAAAAAAATAACTGAATAAAATTGAACCATTTTCTAGTTCAATGAACTATTGTTTTACAAGTTTAAACTGAATTACAATTGGAACAAAATTGAATTTTTATTAACTGAAAATTGATCATAACAATATTTTTTTTTAAAAAAATATCTTTTCAATTTCAAATTAGGAATATTAAACTGAACTTTTGAATCAAGTAATGAACAACTCCAAAATGGAATGAAATAAACATTAAGTGAGATAGAAAAGGCTTAAGAACCATAATAAATAAATAAAAAAAACAAAATTTCTAAAATAAATTAATAAAAAACTATTTACCAAAATAAATAATTTTGGACACGTAGGATGAAGAAAGCGTCAAGTGGAGTGACGATTTTGGAAAGCGTCAACTTGAGTGGCGAGTTTGTACTGTTCACTTAACTATTCACGTGGGAAAAAACAACTAAAAACGTCACTGGTAGTGACGTTTTCAGTTGGGCAAAAAGTTACACTGAAAACGTCAGGGGTATTGACGTTTTCAGTTGTCTGTTACTGACGTTTTCAGTTTGATCCCCTCTATGCCTACCCTCTCTGAATATCTGAACCTATCTGAACCTAATGTCTCTCTCTGAACAAGCACAGAATCTTAGTTACCAATTAGCGATCGAAATTTTTGGTCGCTAATTAGCGACCACCAGTATTTCGGTCGCTAAACAACTTTGCGACCAGAGTTTTTGCAACTACTTCAAATCGGTCGCTAATTCGGTCGCTAAAGTAAATAGCGACCGATTTAAGTAATTTAGCGACCGATTTTTGTGGTCGCTAAAATCCTTTTTTTTTGTAGTGAAAGGTTGTATTTTTACAGGTGACACGAAAACAATTCGTGTAAATCGTGGATTGGATTTTGAATCTTTGAAGAAAAAAATTCATGTGAAGTTGAAATTGCATCATAACCAAATTGTTTCCAGCATTACTTGCAGATATTTGCATTGTGTGAATCCTGTTTTTTATCTAGCTGCAGAAATTGGTGACGATGAAGATGTTGCATGCATGTTTGATAATTTTCAACAGCAAAGTCATATGAGTATGATAGAATTATATATTGTTGTTGATATTGTTAGCACATCTTCTTTTTCGTTACAAGAAATAACTACAGCAGAAGAAGCACGTCAACCTCCAGTTTTGACACAGTCAAATATAATGAGTAGTGACCATGAGTTTGAGCAAACAATTTCGCCACCAACAAATCATCCTGATTCAAACGTTGATTTTGCAACAAACTTAAGTGACGATGATGATATGAATGTTGAAGAAGATGATGAAATTGCACATGATAGTTCATCTGACGAATGTAACATTGAGCCTCCCATAATGAACGAATCAGGTAATTATAAATGTTTTTTGTAGTTTGATTTTGATTTAGTAATATTTATTATTCATATTGTGCCTGTTGTAACCGTATAGGTCCATCACAACCTCCATTTTGGAACAATACTCCACATTATAGTTACATCGATTGGTCTCATCCAGATCAAGAAATGTGGTATGGTGGATTAGATGTTCCCAATTCTTGGCGCGTTGGAGATGAGTTGTATGTTGGGCTACGTTTTCATACAAAAGCTGATGTCCAAATGGCTGTTAAACACTACTCTATGAATGCTCATCAGACATTTGTAGTTCTTGAGTCTGGATTAAAGGTTTTGTCTGTACGATGCCCTAATAGTAATGAAGGTTGCCCTTGGAAACTAAGGGCTAGTATGTCAACAAAGTACAATAACAAGTGGGTCATAAAGAAATGGGGTGGTCGACACACATGTATTAATGCAATATTGTCTCAAGATCACAACAAATTGGACTCAGAATTCATTTGCTCTTGCATATTAGGTAAGTTTATTTATACATACTTTTCAAAAAAATTTAAATAAAGGTATTGTTCATAATAATGTTAGTATTGTTGTTAACATTTCATTTCAGGAATGGTTAGGGAAGATGCTTCCGTGTCAACATCCTTAATTCAAGAAAGAATAAGTGGACAATTTAATTATAAGGTTTCGTACAGAAAGGCCTGGAAAGCAAAACAAAAAGCCATTTCAAGAGTTTTTGGTGATTGGGAAGATTCATACGACCTTTTGCCAAGGTGGTTGGATAGAATGCTAGAATGTTGTCCTGGTTCTGCTTATAGACTTGAGACAACAGATTATGTTTCAAATAATGTCGTCGACGCACGTTTTCGCAAGTTTCGCCGTGTGTTTTGGACATTCAAACCTGCTTGTGATGCATTCAACTACACAAAACCCATCATACAAATTGATGGAACATTTTTATATGGAAAATATCGCGGAACTCTATTAATCGCTACAACACAAGATGGTAATGCTCGCGTTTTACCAATTGCTTTTGCTGTAGTCAAAGGTGAAACATTAAGTGATTGGTCATGGTTCTTGTCAAACATTCGTCGATACGTAACTACAAAGCAAGACATTTGTTTAATATCAGATCGACACCAAAGCATCAAATCAGCTGTGGCAAATGAAAATAATGGTTGGCAACCACCGTATGGGTATCATGTGTATTGTATTCGTCACATTACAAGCAATTTCAACCACCGGTTCAAAAATGTCAAACTCAAACAAGAGCTGATTCACATGGGTAAAATATTATTTCCTTTTTACATTCTATATTTTTATAGTACATAATATGTTATGCTAAACCCTAATGTTAATATTTGGACAGGCTACACAACTTGCAAACATAACTTTACTAGGAGGCTTGAACAATTTCGTGAGATAAGCCCAGAAATTCGTCGATGGATTGATGGGATTTCGTTAGAAAAATGGAGCCTCGCCCATGATGACCAAGGTCGCAGATACGGCCACATGACTACAAACTTGTCTGAGGCTGTCAACAAGATCTTAAAGGGTGCCCGTAACCTACCAATAACAGCTCTTGTAAAGTTTACATATGGTAGGTTAGTTGAGTATTTTGTGCAAAATACATTAACGACCACGATACCTAGCACCCCGATCTAGGTTCCTTCTTACAGGGTCCTCCTCTTCTACCTCTTCTGTAACAGGCGTTGGTTGTCCAAAACCTTGTTGTTGAAAACCAGACTGTTCAAAAGAAGTAGCTTGTCCAAAACCTGATTGTTCAAAAACAGACTGTCCAAAACCAGACTGTCCAAATCCAGACTGTCCAAAACCAGACTGTCCAATAGAAGTACCTTGTCGAACAGAAGATCCTCCAAAAGAAGTACCATGCATATCATCCCCGCCATATCTAAATGGATAATAAGGTGCTGACGGGTCATCATGTTGCTCGTATAAGGATCTGGATTCTGTGTTGATTGAGAAGGAACATAGGTACCAGATGAAGGTGGTAAATGTGTATCAAATGGAGATGAAACATAAGTAGCAGAAGTTGGACTTTCTCCAGTAGTATCACCTGAAGTATAAACATACTGACTATAACCCCCTGATGGTGTCATTGGATAAGCATAATAACTACCTGCAGGGGGGTCATGTGATGGCACAGATATATCTACAGGCTGGTGATCTACACGCCTACGTCGACGTCCAAGGCCACGACCCTCTTGTCGCCCTACACCAATATCTTCCACAACAATTGGTTCGACCTCCTCTTGTGATGGTGGTGGAGCACCTGTAGAGGGATACTGAAGTCGGTGGAATTCACCGTATACCTCTAAACAGTTAGCAAGATTATCAGTCAATTCTTGCATTGAAAAACTGCTTTTAGGTTGTGTTTTAGCCTTATGATACATTTCCTCCATAGTGTCCTCCTGTAAATCAAAATATTGTTATTTGTACATGTTCAACTTAATATAAACACAAATACAAATAACCGAAACAAATAATTATAAAATGTTTATTGTTATATGTTACTTACCACATAACCGTGTTTTGCAGTAATAAGCCCAATCCAACGTCTGGTGTGTCTTTTATACCACACCATGTACTCTGAATTACTACTTAAACGTGTAGTAGTACAAGCTTCTTGTGTCCAAACACGATCTAACCTTGTTTCCCACTCGTGTAGAAAGACAGCATGCTGAACTCGCCAATCAATGTCATCTTTGCCGCGTAGAGTTAGATCATGCAAATTATCTGGTTGACGTGGAGGACGAGGAATGTGTTGTACCATGCCAAACTGGCGCATCACACGGTCAGCATGGTGATACTCAATAATATGAAAGTCAATTAATATTACTACCGCCCTCCAAATATTTGTGTTCTCTACACAATATGGTGGTAGAGAATGAAAATATGGAAGGTATGGCTAAACAAACTGCAAACAAAAAACACAAAAAGTCATAAATGAATGAATACTAATTTGAAGATATCCACTTTTAATTTGTAATGAATAACAACTCTTAATGTACATCTTTATCTTTCATCTTATCTAACGCATCGCGAATCTGAACAACACTTCTTTGTGTCACCTGCAAGGCACTATTCCACCTAAAAATATCAAAAATTAACAAGTTAATTAAAATTATTTGTCTCATGTTAAATCTAATATTTAATAACGCAATTTAAATTAAAATATTACCTTGCACCTAAAGGAACACCAAAAATATTTTGTGGTGCCGTGAAGGGTGCAAAATACGGCATCCGATACCATGCCCACAATTGTAGTAAAATGCATGCCCCACTAATTTCTTTATTGTCATAATTAGTGGCAACACACATTTCTCTATATAAATGAGCAAGTAAGGCTGATCCTCAACTAAGTTGCCCACATTGGTCTAAATCAATTAAGATCACCAAATATCTCATCGGGACTAAAGTTGAAGACTTGTCACAGAAAAGCATACCTCCAAGCAACCGCAAAATATAAGCTCGGGTGTATCATTCCATTTGTTCAATGCTATGCACATGCATCGAAATATCAAAAAAATGTTCATCAACCCAGCTCATCTTCAGCCTTCCACCTTTAATTGCATTTGCTGGTGGTGTTATTCCAAACAAATCTTGAACAAGTGGGACCCAATTATATGTCGAACAACCAGTAATTGGGTCTCCATGTACCTTTAGACCTAACAAAACAGAAACATCTTCCAATGTAATTGTACACTCTCCAAATGTCATATGAAAAGTGTGTGTCTCTGGCCTCCATCTCTCAACTAATGCTGAAATTAACTGGTGGTCAATAGGAAAGTATGAGATTTCAGCCACTCCAAGCATCCCTGATCGTGCAAGATATGGTCTTAATTCTTTGAGAATTGACCCATCTCGATGACCACTTTTGGTAGCTCTTCTAATACGAAGAACTCTATCAGCCTCACCATTCCATACGTGCTCAGACACATGAATTGATTGCATAGTCAATAAAGAATCATCAATGGGTCCCGAATTAACTCTTTTACGAGACATTCTGAAAATATACACAATCAACAAATACGTACATAGAATTTAAATAATAAATACCCTAAACCCCTAAATAACGAATAATCAATTAAATCCTAAACAAAATAATCTTATACTACTACATCAATATTATATAATTAAAATCACACAAACATAAATTATTACACTTAATTTCGAATCATTTAAATTATATAACACAAAAAAATGGCAATAAAATGGCTGAAACCAGAACGGGCCGTTCTGGTTTCAGAACGGCCCGTTCTGGTTCTGGAACGGCCCGTTCTGGTTTCAGAACGGCCCGTTCGGAAACCACAACGAGCCGTTCTTCTCCCAGAACGGCCATTTCGGTTACAATTTTAACACACACGAACTGGTTCAGAACGGCCCGTTCTAGTTTCAGAACGGGCCGTTCCAGATTCATTGACTACCAAAAACCTGCACGAAATAACAGCGTCCAAAGCTTTCAAAACACTTAAAATTACCTCTTTTCTTCCTTCTTTTCGTTTTTCGTTAGCTTCAGTTGGTTCACACCTTCTCCTTCTCTTCGTTTCTCCTTCTCTGTTAGTCTACTCTTTATCTTTCACCTTGGCATTATTTAAGAAGAAAGGGAGCAGCGTATCTGAAAACGTCACCATAGTTGACGTTTTCTTTGTTGATTTTTTATGCTTAAATCGTCACCTGTGTTGACGTTTTTTTGGTCAAACTGATTCCCTGAGCCACTGAACTGATTCCCTGTTTCCTGTTTCCTAAGCCACTGAAACTGTGCGTCTGAAAAAGGATGAACAGTTAAAAAACGTCACACAGTGTGACGCCTTCCCCACTTACATTTTCCAGCACGGATTCTGCATGCACAGTGTAAGAAAAACGTCAAAACGTCAACCACTTTGACGTTTTCATACTCTTCTCTCTCCTACGTGTCCAAAATTATTTATTTCGGTAAATAGTTTTTTTTATAATTTTTTTTTGAAATTTTATTTTCTTTTTTATTTATAATGGTCAAAATGTCGATAGAAAACATGAACGAGCAATATCAAGTAAACAAAATGTGAAGCAATTAATCAAATTAGTTAAAATGTGAAAAGAAATCACTAACAACCCTTTAAAGAGTCGCAACACACAGAATGAAAGAGTGGAGTTTGCAAAGAGCAAATAAAGTGCTAACCCCGCACGTAAGTGTGTGGACAACAATTTATTTTTAAAATGTCAAATAAAAATTGAAAATGTCAACTGTATCGCTAAATTTAATTTCCTATTAACATTATATCTCTAAATATATATTAATATTATCACTTTCACTATATTTTTTAATTTTAGATTTATATGATTACCACAATTTACATTTTCAATTTTTTTTAAATTTCCTTTGATCCAAAATCTAATATAACAATACTTTTTAAATTTAAGAACTAGAATAGTTGTTTTCAACAAAAAAAAAAATCGAGTAAATATTCACTTTACTATCTGAATTCGAAAGACACGATCATATTGATAATTGAAATTAAGAAATTGTCAAGAATGTCAAATAAGTTCTTAAATTTAATTACTTACTTTGATATTAGATCTTGAATAAATATTAATATTACCACTTTAATCATACATTTTTTTTTATGAATTATGGACTAATTTGATGTGAATTTACACTTTAAACAAATTTAACATTTTCTTAATTTTAGGAACTAATATACCAGGGCCTTCCAAATTTGAGACTAATTTATGTGTTTATTCAAATAAAGATATTTTCACATGTCAATAATCCCCTTTCCATTTCAATTCTTTTCTTTAAAGTATTTTACATATTTAAGAACACTTTTTTCCAAAAAAAAATGACACTAAAAGATCACATGAGTGCGAAAGATGAATCAAACCAAACGTTTTTTTTTATATATAAATTTTGTTGCTTAAATATAATTTTTGTCCCTAAAATTTAGCATTTTTTTTTATTTTTCATCTTTGTAAATATGTTTTTGGAATATCCTTGTAAAATCCAAACATTTCATTTTTTTGTCCCGGTTGTCAAAGTTCGTTATAAAAATGTTAACTTGATGATGTCATTATGTGTTATATCAACAGAAGATTACTTCATGATGATGTCATCATGTGTCAAGTTAGCACAATGATACATCATTAGTGTCATGTTAATAACATAGTAGAGGGAGCAAAAATGAAAAAAATAACTTATAGGATAAAAAATGAAAAAAAATGAAATTACACGAATTAAAAATGATTTTTTTTAAATATTGTATAAATTCTCTAAACTTTCTCATTCATTACACACCATTTCTTAACATGCACATACTGAAGTTAGTAAAAATACACACAGAAGGAGGGTTGAATGTGTGTTCGTGTTAGAAAGAAAATTTTAAAGTTATTTTGCAAAAGCAATTTTGGTTGGAAAACTTAAGTAGTCTTTTCTGTCTAGTTAGTTTTCTTGTTTAGTAAAACTAATTTTCTACGTAAAAGGTTAAGTAAATTAGTTTTCCGTTTGGAAGACTTTATCGTCTAGTAAAAATAGTTTCAACAAGGTCAAGTATGTTTTCATCTAATGCTTTGTTGAAAAACGAAATAGAACAAGAGCAAAGTAAGTAATAAAAAAAATGAAGAGAATGCACAAATAGTTATACTGGTTCACTCAATCTGAGCTACGTCCAGTTTCCTTCCGCGAAAGGGTTCCACTAATCACAAAGGATTACAAGTATTCTCAACCACTACTGACTCGTCAACTAGACGCTAGTATTTTTAACCACTTCTGGTTCTCCAAGTATTCTTGACCACTCCTAGTCTGTCGGCTTCACTCACCAACGCTAGTATTATCAACCACTTTTGGTTCACAAGTATTCTTTCTATCAGCCTCTTCAGGCTTTACAACAGTTGAGGGTATTGAGTGTGTTTATAACTCTCACAGAGAGGATAGGGTAATTTCTACACTCACTAAGGTGCATAACCTTAGTTTTACAGAGAAAAATGTCTAAGTGTTTGGTTATTCTCGTAGAGAGGATGAACTATTAGCAACACTCACTAAGATAAGCTATCTTAGTTTTTACACAGGTATACAGGAAGTACTTTGAGAGGGAAAATAGTTTATGCTCTTTTCTTTTCTTTTCGTATTGCACGTTTTTTTTTTCTTCCTTATTCTCCTCCTTTTTCTTGGCCTTGATACTTATACACTTTTGATAAATCTTCCCATTGTTTGAATTTGAGTTTTTCCGTTGGAGCGTAGCTTCGTGTCGTTGCAGATGGAAGCTTTTTTTTCATGTTCATGAAAATGTTCTCATTTTAATGCATTTGGTCTTGCATTAAATGTTTGCTTGTATTCGTGGAGACTCTTTGTGCAGTTGATTACTTCGGTATCTGATTTCAATCATGATCTAGGTATATTTATACTTTTCTCAGTAGTTTAGCCGCTGCAGTGCTGTCTTTTTCTGAAAAGTAGGTGTCTTTTTTCTGACACACTCAACTTTGACTTGTGAATGCATGTTTGCCTATTTTTATTCACGTTGATGTCCTCTAGTGTTTCTTGTATGATTTCTTTCAATGTGATTAGTGAACTTCAGACGAGCTTCTGTATTCTTGACACCGTCTGGGTACTCTGTTTGATCTTGAATAACCTTTTCGTCTGGGTATGGAAGTGATAACTTCGTCTTCTACTTTACTTGGTTCTTTCTGATGGTTACTTCATGTTGATGTTTGGCCAACTTGCGTCTGATGCCTCAGACTTCTGCTGATAGACTTTGTATCTTGATTTGTGCCTAAATTAAACTTAGTCTTGATACTGGCCTTTCTATCGTCTGATGTTTTGTCTAGCCGGATTATGTTTGATCATATTTCACTGTTTGAACTTTTTGTTATCCGACTGAAACACTAGTGCACATGTTAGTAATAACAATATGTATTATATTTGTCATTTCAAAACTTTGTTGGGATTTGCGAATGCGTTTCGTCTGACTTAACACATACCTCATAAGAAAAAAAAAAACAAATTATGTCTTAATAGTAGTTACCATTGATCTGTCTCAATTGTAGCTCAAAAAGGTGTCATAATGGGTCCAACCCAATAGGTTAACCTATATATATAACATGTCAAAATGAGTTGGGTTGTACTTTTAAACCCTCTAAATAACACAACCAAAATGGAAAATTCCACAATCCAACGGTTAAATGACAAGTTGAGTTGGATTGACCCATCAAATTTATCCATTAAGTTACCTACATTTTTCCTTAACAATTGCCTATTAAGTTATATTATTTTATTTGTTGTTGGGTTCTTATTAAGACATATTTAGGATTGTATTGTAGACTTATTTTAATGTTATCATGTCTCTTGTCCATGTGAAACTAAACCACTACCCTTGATGTTACAATTATGGCAGCTCCCAAAGTGATTATGACTAATTAAGACAAGATAATAGTGACTACTATTAAGTCATAAAGCATATATATTTTTCCTATGATGTATGTGCATATTAAAAAAAGGAAAGAATGATGTGTGCGTGTATGATAAATGAGAGAGTTTTGAGTATTTATGTCATATTAAGTGACCTTATAATATTTTTTTTTGAAGTAGACCTCATAATGTTAAACAACGAAAAAATGAAGAAAAGATGAAAAAAAGTAATTATTAAAAATATTTATTTATTTATAATAATTTAAATCAAATATAAACAATATATTTAACCTATGTCACACTTTTTTTCTTCTTTTCGTCTATGTAATTTTTTTTTTCATTTTTTTGTCACTTTAAATATTTTAATTTTTGGTCAATTTATTAATTTCAATAAAGTGATTTTGTATTTAAGGATGAAAAAAAATAGTTAGAATTCGTAGAGAATATGTAAAATGATAAATTCAGGTAATTAAAAAAAGTTATAATTCAGGCATGCATTTGTCATTTTCAATTCCAAATAAAAATTGTCATAAGTGAGTGTCAAAAATTGTGAATCTGAACTTAGTGATCTACCATATATGAAAGTTCAACTACAAAATAATGTTGAATTATAAATTTTGTGACTAAATAAAAATTCAACACAAAATAGAATGAAACCAAAACATAAAAATATCACATGTTTAAATTAATCCTACCCAAGAAGAGTACAACTCCAATTTCAATGTTATTCCATATTAGAGAGTCATCATCTCCATATTAGAGAGTCATCATCGAGTGTTGTTAACATTAGAATAGAGATAAGAATTTAATAAACTTAAGTGATGGTGAGAAACAATTTGAAAGACATAATATCTAAATTTATATGAGTAATCTAACAAAGAGATTCGGTTTAGTAAATTTAGTAAAAAAATTGCTTAAATTTTGGTTTGCTATATTAGTAAAATTTCTATCTTAACTAAAAGAGTATGTATCGGAAGAAATCTACCTTAATTAGTATAAAAAAGATAATCATTATTTTGGGTTAGATAGTATAGAATTTTATAATAAAAAATATTATAGAATTTTATCATAATTAATTAGCATTAACTATGAATGTAATATCAATTAAAACATATAACTATCAATTTTTGTAATTAATTTCAATAAAGTGTGATTTTATATTTAAATATGAAATAAATAGTTGGAATTCATAGAAAATATGTAAAATGACAAATTAAGGTAATAAAAAAAGTTATAATTCAAACATGCATTTGTCATTTTCAATTCTAAATAAAAACTGTCAAAAATGAGTGTCAAAAGTGATGAATATGAAAACTGAAAATTATTTGTTGATTTAAAAATTTTGTGACTAAATAAAAATCCAACACAATCCAACCTTAATTTAATATAAAATATTAATTATTGAGTAATATAAATCTATCAAGACTTATTCTTATAGTAAGTAAATTTTTTTCTCATAAAAATTAAAATAATTTTGTCAAAAAATAAAAATAATTAAACAATAAGAAAAATATAAATAAAATATTAATATATTTTTATCATATTAAATATAATAAGATAATTAATAATAAAGTTAATAATATATATTTTATAAAACAATTAATATTTTATAAATAAAAGGAATGAACAATATTTAAGTGGGCTGCCCCACTAGTATAAACATGGATCCATCCCTGACCATCAAATTAACGTTTTTGTAACAAATTTTGACTGCAATGATGAAAAATGGAACATTTAAAGTTTACATTAATGTTTCTCAAAAAAAAAAAAATTATAAGACGAAAAATGAAAAATGCAAAATTTTTGATAAAAAAATTACATTTCAACCAAATTTTATTTATATTTTCAGATTTTTTTTTTATTTCAGTTAGATTCTAATATAAACTTTTTTTTAATATACCATTTTTTTTATAATTATTTAAATAACCTAAATGTATTTATATTTACCTAAATAACCCATTTAGAAATTTAGGTGAGAAATCGGTTACTGGATAACCGATTTTTCAAAGGGATTTTTGGAAAATTTTGAAAAATCCCTTTGAGAAATCGGTTACCCAGTAACTGATTTTTCACTTGGGCTATTTTTTTTCTCCTTTTTATGTTTTTATATTTTGTAAAATGAAAAAAAATTATTCACTTTTTGATTTTCAGATTTTTTTTTAAAAGTATAATTAATTTTAATAAAATATATTTAATATTTGAATTAAATAATTTATAAAAGATAATAATTAATAATAAAATTA